TTTTTCATTGTTATTTATTTTCCTGATTTACAGTTTACAATAAACATCTTTAATTAATTAGATTCTATTTTCAAGTAATATTCTACTTCATGTGTTGTGTAAACTTTATGACAGTTTATTCTCAATCCCTTCCTCCCATTCTTTGTGCCATTATTATCAAGCATTTTACTTTTACATATGCTATAAACACATAATACACTGCTGTTCTCTTCACCTTAGTTTCTTAGAGCAATTGAAGGAAGAAAAAATAGTTTTATTTTCACATTTATTTATTCTGTTTTTATCATTTTTCATTTCATTATGTAAATCCAAGTTTCTACTGGTAGCATATTCCTTCCCCTTAAAGAATTTCCAATTTCATTTAATATTTCCTAGTCCAACATATATACATATATTTTTTCTAGTGCAGTTCTGTAGGCAATTAATATTTTTCCCTTTTTGTTTGAGAAAATATGTCTCCTTCGTGTTCAGAGATATTTTTTCTGGGCATAGAATTATGGATTAGTAGTTTGTTTTTTTCAGCATTTTAAAGATGTCACTCCATTGTCTTCTGACTTACCTGTTTCAGCATGAAAAGTCTGCTGTATTTCTTATCTTTGTTTCTCTGTATGTAACATGTCTTTTTTCTGTTGCTGCCTTTAAGATTTTGTCTTTGGTTTTCAGCAGTTTAAATATGCTAAGTATAGGGATATTTTTGGTGTTAGTGGTGCTAGTTTCCTGCTCTTTTTGTTTTTGTTTTTGTTTTTAGTTTTTTGGATCTGTGGTAGTATTTGCCATTCAAAGTAGAAACGTTTGTCAGCCATTATTTCTTTAAATATCCCTTGTCTTATACTCTCTTTTCCTTCTGAGATTTCACTTTTACAGATCTTATGGTGTTTGGTATTGCCCCCCAGCTCTTGGATATTCTGTTCTGCATCTCCCCCTATCCAACTCTTTTTTTCTCTGTGTTTCAATTTGGGTAATTTCTATTGACCTATCTTGATGTTCACAGATTCTTTTCTCAGTTTTGTAAAGTGTAGTGATCAGCCCCTCAAAGTCTTTCTTCATCTCTCTTACTGTGTTTTTGTCATTTCCAGCATTTCTATTTGATACTTTCTTATCCATTTCTTCTCTCTGCTGGAAAGAAATTAAACACTAATTATATCCACCTTTTTTATTAGAGTATTCAGCTTATTAATCAATTATTCTAAATTCCATGTCACAGTTTCAACACCTGTGTCATATCTGAGTCTTATTCTATGAAATGCTTGATCTTATTAAATGTTGGCGGGGGGGGGGGAGTTCTTATCTTTTCTTACACTAGCAGTTTGGTGAAAGTCAGACATATTGAGTAGGATAATAAAGACTGAGGTATATCATTTTGATTCTTGGAACTAAGTATGCCTTTCCTTTTGCTAGGTCTTTAGTATGGGGTTTGGATCAGTCTAGTCAGGACTTGAGGTAGGTTTTGGTTTCATTGCTGCTCTGGTTACCCTTAATGTACTCAGCCTTCAAATTTTACTAGTGATACCTTTTGTTTTGCCAGAAGGCTTTTCTCACTGTCTGCTACACCCTTTCTCTTCTCAACTCTTGTCCCTCTTCTAGCATTAAACTACTATTACTTACAGCTTGTTAGTCTGGTTGTGGAAGCAGGACCAGGAAGTGTGATGTTTTTGTTATTCTAATTAAGTTTCTGCCTTAGGCAGGCACTGTGTCCCTGGATCTTAGAAGGGGGATAACCTCCCCCAGATGTACTTCTGGGCTCAGTACATGTTCCTGCCCCTCCCCTAGGGAACAAGAGGGGTTTTTTTTTCTTATTTCCTCCTCCCACCCCAAGCTTTACTAAGGAAAGACCCCAGTCCCTAAAGCCAACAGTGTTCTGCCCTCACAATTTAAGCTTTTGTTCTGTAATATAGACAGGAGAGAAAGGTCTGCAAAGGACGCTTTCTCAGAATTCTTGCCAGTGTTTTTGTGAGCACCAGGTTGGGTCCTATGGAGAGGGGTTTACAAGTACATTTTAATTTCCCTTATAATCTGTAGCCCCCAGGCTTCTAAATATTCTTTCACTAGGCTACATTCTTCCTTTACCAATTTGTTAATTATTTTAGCTGAATTCTTCTTACTGTAGTCCAGCTGAGTCTGCCTCAATGAAAGTCATGTCTGTTTCTCTTTGTATGTACCCATCTGTCCTTAGGTTTGGAGTTAGCTGGTTTCCCTGTGACTTCTGCTCTCTGATGGATTAAAGGAAAGTTGTGAATCTGCAGTTTGTCTGGCTTGTTATTGTTGTTGTAATGATAGCACCATGCTGTCCCAGAAACAGAAACCAGAAGTATGAATTCATTTTGGAAAATAAGTACTAAAAATATGTCAAGGCTGTTTGATATGCTGTGTGTTTCCAGGTTAAAAGATAGGACATGCTTTTCAAAGAAAAAAAAAAAGTTTGTGGGCTTATTTTGAAAAGCATTTGCTGTTCCTGACATTGCCACCAGAGGGCAAGCTGCCACATCACTACATATCTATCTCCCTGGGTGAGGCCCCATTTCCAATTGGGAAAGTGAATGTATAAAGTGGGAGGCAGATGCATCTAAAGCAGCTAATGCTTGTGGGGAGGGCCTGTTCTCAAGGTCCTCCTGGCTTGTGCAGCTATGGGTTGGGCTCTCAGTCCTTGCAGCCCTGGCCCTCACACACAGGCCAAAGCTGTACCCTCTGCAGAGAATATGCCTTTTGTTAGCCCTGGCAAAGAAGGTGTCTTTTCTTGCAAGCAGGCATGTCCTTAGTACCTTTCCAAGTACCTCACCCCACTAAGATTCATGCTGAGAGGCTGCCAAGACCCTGCTAGGTGATCAGGCTCTAGCACCTTCAGGTGAGTCCAACCGTCTGCCCAGCAGGGGGCAGTGCATGGAGTCAGTTCCAGTCCGGCCATTAAGGGTACAAATTTCCAGGAGCCCTGGTAGGGAAGTGATAGGGAGTAGAGGCTGAGGGGCATGTGGATCTTTAGCTGTTTTATCTGACATAAACCAAAATCATAGGGAGAGAAGTGTGGTTCTCCTGCAAATAAAGTCTAAAATAGGTGTTCCTGATTGGCAAGTGCGGAGTCAGGAGCTCACCCAGCCATCTTGTAGCACCATCAAGTTTCAGCATACAGGAAGATGAGGGTGTGGGGGTGTGGAGAGAACACCACCCACACCTAACCACATTGCCCAGCACTTCCCATAGTGTTTCTGCTCTCATGCCATGGGTGCAACTCAGCACCTATTCCCTCCTAAGTGCTGGGGGCTGGGAATTGTAGCCATGGCTGGGCAGACATCTCCCAACTGCACTTCTCCCCTGAGAAAGGAGTGGACAGCCAGTCCCAAACTGCCCAAGTCCTACCCACAGTAACTACTTCAAACAGATTATTGTTCTGGAACAATATTTTCCATATTTGTATGATTTTAAGAACCACAGAGGATGCTTACTTAAAATATAGTCCTTGGGTCTTTTTACTGGACACTGGTTTGGCCGTCTGCATGGGTGCCTGGAATCAGTGCCTTTACAAGCACTCTAGGGAGGTGCAGTACCCTAGTGAGTGTCTACAGAGGGAGGGATCCACTACCACCCCCACCCCAGCCCAGTGGATGGGAAGCTAGGCCAACTCCATCTCTGCTTTTGTGTTGAGTCATGGAACCGTGGGATGGGTACTGCAGCCCTCCCTGAGTGTGACTGCCCTGCAGCTGAGCCCTGGGAGGAGCACCCTGTGTGTCACGGCCATGTCAAGGCAGAACCCGGTGGCCTGTAGCTGGGGCACACCAAGCTGTCCTTGACCAACCAAACCAGAACACAATACTTCCAGTCTCTAGCCACTTTAAACAGAACGCCGTCACCCTTCCACCCCGCTCCCCCAGCAAAGCTGTGTTTGCTTGATCTGGGGGTGGAGGATCATTTGTGCTCACGTTTTCTCTTTAGCAACACTGGAGGGCAGCAGTGAGTCAATGTTTGCAATTTTTTATTAGAAAGTCAACTATTAATGGTATTCAGTCATAGATTTTATTTACTTATTTGTCTTTTTGTTCTTGCCGTGGCACCCTTGCCATGAACCATGGGAAATGACACCAGGCTTATGACCAGTACGGGGGCGGGGGCAGAGCAGCAAGGAGGCAGAGGTAGGGTAAACCCAGGGGAGGAGCAAGCTGTTCTCACTGGGCACTGGGTCCCACAGCAGCTCAGAAGCTTCTAGCAGATCCAGGCAAACCTGTGAACACCCCCACTCCGCCCCAGCCTGAGATGGGCCAAGACTTCCCCCAGCTGGGCATTTCACTCGGGAGTGTTTGTGATGAATGGATCCCTGGGTGAGGGCGAGTCTCTCCTCGCTGCAGTTTCTGCCTACACGCCTACACCTACCTTATTTCCTCAGAAAGGCTTGCCCTAGAAAGGCTTGCCTTAGATCCCCTCAGTCTGCTGTTTACTCTTCAGGGTACTCACCACCACCTGACATGAGATTGTTACCTGTGAGCTCCCCCTGGCCAGGAGTCACGAAATCCTTGGGTTCCCCGCCCCCCATCCATTCCTTGAACTGACAGATTTAATTGAATGAGTTCACAAATGAACAGATTGGCAAGCAGACCTTACTTGTCTAATTTGCACACTGAGAGGTAACCAACAACCTTACCTGTCGAATTTGCTTGGGTCCCTCCTCAGAAATAACAGAAGCAGTAATAGGTTTTATCCTCTGCTGCCCAACCGGGGTACCTGCCTTCTGACAGACCCCAATCGTCAGCAGAGTCCAGGTGAGGTCTCCAACTGCTCTTCAAGGTCCACAATAAACACGAAGTATTTTAAACTATCACTAGTGATTTTGACACCTGTGGTCTTAACGCTCCTGCTGGCACAGATGGCACTGTGAGTCTCCATTCGGTTTCCTTAATTAAGGAGACACCTGGTCTTGGAACTCCCTTTCCTGGCTTCCTGGGGGTTGCTAGGGCCTGGAGCCTCTCTGCCTGCCCAGGGGCCACCTGGCACCGCGTCTCTCTCTTCTGTTCCAGCCGTGATCCCTCTGACGGATTCGGAGCACAAGCTGCTGCCTCTGCACTTTGCAGTGGACCCCGGGAAGGACTGGGAGTGGGGCAAAGACGACAACGATAACGCCCGGCTGGCCCAGTGAGCCCCTACCCCGTGCCCCTCCCCCAACGCCCTAAAGGGCCGACTGTCGCCGGTTTCCCGGCGTGGGCCGGGCCGCCCTTGCTCCTCCTGGGACAGCTGGCGTGCCTGCGGGCGGGGTGCGTGCGGGCGAGCGCGGGCCGGCTGGGACGCGTTTCACTCCGTGTTCTTCTTTCGCCAGCCTGATCCTGTCGCTAGAAGCCAAGCTGAACCTTCTGCACAGCTACATGAACGTGACGTGGATCCGGATCCCCTCGGAGACCCGGGTGAGCCTGGCGTGCGCCCGGACCTCACCAGCTGTCTGGGTCCTGGCCTCTCACTGGCCGCCGGCGCGGGCGGGCGGGAGGGCCCACCCTACAAACCTGGCAGGGCTCACCTACTCCCTCCCGGCCTCCGACCCCCGGCCGCGCCCGGCCAGCCCCGCCCCGCCCCGGCGAGAAGTGTTTTGGGTTTACCTGATGCGTGTGTGCACGCGTGCTTGCGTGCCTATACGTAGGCGCGCACCTCGGTTAGGAGATGTTTGGTTTTGTATGCGAGTTGTGGTTTCGAGTGGGTTTTTTTTTTTTTGTCCTTTTATTTTCTCCAGAAGCAAAGGAATAAACACACCCACTCAGAAAACAAACTGTAGGCAAGTCACAACACAAAACTATCTCTGCCGACATCGGAACACGATGTGCTGCGGCAGAGCGGAATTATAAACTGTGTGTGGGTCCTTGGAAAAGCCAGGGAACCGAGAGCGCGCAATTCCTCAGCGCCCCCTCCTTCTGTTCTCCAGGAGGCGGTGGGAAAAGAAGACCCCCCAGGGAGGGTCTGCTCTCTCCCCCCTTCCACATGCTAAGCACGATTCACTCTGATTGATGTTTTTGTTACCTCAGTAGTGAGCCCTCAAAGAAAGGGATTTGTAAAAAAGAGAGAGAGCTTACAAATTGGTCCTCCTCAGACATCAGTATACTTGGCTATGAAGTGGAGCTCATAAACTACAGTATTAAAGGAGTGACATGAGGAAAGAATTAAGGTGGTGCCTGACACAGAGTCAGTAGCCAGGACAGGCCAGGCACTGTTCAGGATGTTTTCATACATCAGCCTTTACCTGTATGCCATCTTCATAGGGCTTCTGGAGGCAGGTACTGATATCGCATTTTACTGAGGACACAAGGGACAGCTGGTGGCAGTCTGGCTCCAGAGTCCTGACTCTTAACCTCTACAATGACCTGTCAACTGCCTGGATTCTACCAATGTTGCTGCGGGTGTTCTTTCCCAGCACACACATATGGTGTGAAGGCAGCAGCTGTAGGTCTAGAAATCAGGAGGCTCTTGGGCTAGGACACAGCTCTGCAAGGCAATGAGCAGGGCTCCCTACCAAGCCATGGTGGCCACAGTGTCAGATGCAGGGCCTGGCAAGAACACTTCCAGCCTCAGGGCATTTGAGCCACTGTTCCTTGCTCACTGGGTGCCAAACAGTGGGCACTCCCAGCACCAAGCACACCTCCCTTTCCTGGGCCAAACCCCTGAGCTTCTGCCCTTTTGTGTCACTGACAAATCCTGTTGAGACCTCTAGCTCCTTCCAGACCCAGGAAAGAGTGGGAACAGGAAGGAATTTCAGAATATAAAGTGGGGAGGGCTGGTTCCTGATTCTTCTGGGTGATCTGATTGCAGGAGGTATCTTGGACCTGCTTGGGAAGGGAGGGGACAAAACTGAAATGAGGGAACAATGGGGCCTTCTCCAAGGCTCCTCTCCTGAAGGACAGGAAAAGCCCATTCAGAGGTGGGCACCAGTTCCTGCCACTCAGCTGCTAGTGTGAGATCCCTGGTCTTCACCCAATGATGCTGTCAGAATTCTCTCTCCTCACACAAGGAGGAATCTCCCACAAGGTCCTCTGCATGCATTCATCTCCTTTCTCAGGCTCCCCACCTACCCCATAGTCCTGGACCAGGTGTCCATACCTGCCTTGCCTTCCTGACTGTGAGCCTTATCCAAGGTGTTCACAGAGATGCCCCCTCCTCACACCCGAGACCTTTTCTGGGAACGGTAACGTTTTTCCTGCTAAGCCCAGGTCCCGTTTCAGAATCCTCAGTTTAGCACACCACATTGCCAATCCGAGAAAGGAACCCCTAGAGTAAAGAGATTGGTCATGACCCGAACTGCTAAGGGGGTATTTGTTCTAAGGTAAGGACAAAGTGTCTGTCCCCTGTCTGTAGTAAACAGGTAAGACACCTTTGTAGGAGAGACACCTACAGGCGCAGGTGAAGTGTCATCCTTACCAGAAGGCCTCTAAGTCTACAGAGGCCGGCCAGGACCTGGGTCTGGTCGTAGACCAGCTTCCTCAGGGCTAGAAGGGCAGAGTCGGGGCATGATGATTCTAAAATGTGCAGAGGCCCCGGGGCTGTGGGCATCTGCACCTTGCCCAAAATCCCTGCCTCGGAGTTCCAGGCTACCAGCAACCTGAGCTCACCAAAAAGGCATCCTGGATGGGACAGTGAGATCCCAACACAGCAGCCTGTGGGCTGGGATGGTCTACCTTTGTCGAACCCACGTGAGATGGCTCATCTCTAACCTTCTTCCTTTCTCGACCTTCCTCTCCCCCCCCCCCC